AGAAGATAGATTCATTGATAACTGCACTTGCTTAACACAGGAAAGTAAGTAAAAATAGTTTTAAATCGAATTTACAATTTAGTTATGCTTTTTTCTGGAACTGCATTAATTTCTGACCCCACAAAGGCTTATCCATATTTTTAGTTTTACACTTAGGATTAATAATAGTGTAACTAATTTACATAAAAAACAAGCCTTTGCAGAGCTGAAGTCTTGATGGTAGCCTGCTTTCACAATCAACAAGTGCAAACACCCACACAAGAAAGAAAAACTGAAGTGAAAAGGTTCAATCATCCCCATTGCTCAGATTCTCTGCAGTTTTCCATTTTGCATTCTCTCAAAAGAACACAGGTTCACATAACAAATATTAGTAGAATACAGAAAAAGTTTTGTAAAAAATATTTTAGCATTTATAAAATGTTTTCAATTTCAGGTTCTTCTCAGGTCTCTGTTTCTAATTTGCCAATCTTCCCTGGTTTCCCCCTGAAATTAATTGATATTTCAGTTGCATACGTAGACAGGCTTGGATGTTATTACTAAGAGGCCTGGATGTTCACTGGTGCTCGCTTATGACACGTTTTTTCCAGGATGCCCATTACAGCAGCAGCTGCTCATCCTCTATTCCAGCAAACAACACTGGGCCACTGGATTGTCTGAACGGGTTCTCCTGGTGATGAAGATGCAACACGATACCATCTTAAAATGTCATGATGTCAGAGATCACTCTGAGGTACTTCACACATGACTGTAGTATGTTTGTGACTTTACTAAGAATGCTGAATGACACGTGAGTAGTGTTTTGCCTTACACAGAAAGGTATAGTAGCAACCACAAAACAGACAACCTGCATAGATTACTGTTGACAGAATAAAACAGTATTCAGAATGAAGCAATATTCAGTATTTCTGTGAGAAAAAAACACATCACTGTGCATTTTCAGGTACCAAAACCAGTGGGGCAATAAAAAGTCTCTTTTAAGTGCTGTTACACAGAAGTTGTTTTCACAAAGCAAAGTGTTTGTTAATTAGTTGCAGCACTGTCTTGAGAACCTCTTCCTTGGAGGGGCTGGCATCAACCACTTGGCATGCAGGATTCACCATCCTTCTGTATGACTCTTCAACTCTATTTTAAAACAAAACAAGGGAAATTAAACTTCAAAATGCAGGGATATGAAATGGCATTATTCATTGCTCTCAGAAGAAAGTGTTCACATTGTAGAGACAAAGGATACAAAATCTAATATGAAGCTAAGAACGAAATCTACTGCAAAAAGAAATAAACCGTTAGTAACTGCTATTATAATGTAAATCTCAAAGCACATAGTTTCCCAGACATTGATTCCCAGAGCTCTAGCCATATTCACATATGGCATGGCATAAAGTATTTCTTTCTTTACAGCTTGGCACTGGATACAGTCTGGTAGAGCAGTGCAGTGGACAGTCTGCTTCTAACACCTGAATTAACTTCTTCAGATTCTGCTAAGGTGTCTCTGAACTGTATGACATTGCACTGTGTAGCTGTGCTCACTGACTGATTTCACCTTTGACTAACTGGATTAGAGAGTTGACACATCATTCAAACCCTTCCTCTGATCAACTATCCAGATGAATAACAGGATGAAATACAGGATGAAAACATCCTCACTTAGACTGTAAGCATAATGCAGAGCTCTCCCCCATTTAGCCTATGAGGGTGTGAAAGAGGATGTCAATATCATTTCCCATGTTCTCAAAATTGCCATGAAGGCCGGAAGTCACAGGACAAATCAAGCAAGATTCTGAATATTCTCATGTCCAGGCTGACATAATTAACAAGTAGAAATAACCAAAGGCTTTCTGACAGGACTAAGATGTAAAAGTAGAACTTAAAGGATTCTTAAATGTTGTTCCCTAGCTCACTCATCCCTCTGCAGTTCCTACTAAATAAGCAGGGAGTTTCTGTCAAAATTAAGCAATCATAGAATCATAGAATGTTAAGGGGTTGAAATGGACCTTAAAGATCATCTAGTTCCATTCCCTGCCACCAGAGGCAGGGACACCTCCCACCAAGCCAGGTTGCTCCTACCTGGCTTTGAACACTGCCAGGGTTGGGGCAACCACAGCCTCCCTGGGCAACCTATTCCAGTGTCTAACCACTCTCACAGTAAAACCTAAATTTCCCCTCTTTCAGTTTGTACCCATCATTCCTTGTCCTATCACTACAGTTCCTGATGAAGAATCCCTCTCTAGCTTTCCTGTAGGCCCCCTTCAGATACTGGAAGGTTGCTATCAAGTCTCCACATAGCCTTCTCTTTTCCAGGCTGAATAGTCCCAACTTTCTCACAGGGAAGGTGCTCCAGTCCTCTCATCGACTTCATGGCTCTCCTCTGGACTTGTTTCACTGGTTCCATGTCGTTCTTATGTTGAGGACACCAGAACTGGACGCACCACTCCACGTGGGGTCTCACAAGAGCAGAGTAGAGGGGTCAAATCACCTCCTTTGACCTGCTGGCCACACTCCTTCTGTAGCAACCCAGGATTTCATTGGCTTCCTGGGCTGCAAATGCACATTGCCAGCTCATGTTGAGTTTTTCATCAGCCATCACCCCCCAAGTCTTTCTCTGCACTGGCCCACCTCTCAAGCCTGTCAAGGCCCCTCTGGATGGCATCCCTTCCCTCCAGTGTGTCGACTGCACCACACATCTTGGTGTCGCCAGTGAACTTGCCGAGGGTACCCTTGATCCCACTGTCAACGTTGCTGACAAAGCTATTGAACAGTATCAGCCCCAGTACTGACCCCTGAGGGACACCACTCACCACTGGTCTCCACATGGACAATGAGCCATTGACCACAACTCTCTGTGCAGCCATCCAGCCATTTCTTTATCCATCAAGTAGTCCTTCCACCAAATCCATGTCTCTCTAATTTGGAGACAAGGATGTCGTGCAGGACAGTGTCAAACACTTTGCAGAAGGCCAGGTAGATGATGTCAGTTGCTCTGCCCTATCCATAAATGTTGTAGCCCTGTCATAGAAGGTCATCAAATTTGTCAGGCATGATTTCCCCTTTGCAAATGTTGTTGGCTGTTATCAATTACTATTTTTAAGGTGTATCATTGCCAAAAATGTTAAAAATCTAGAGGTAGATTTCAGTTTTGAGATTTGTAGATATGGAAACCAATATTCAGGTGTCTATACTGAGGCATCTGTGAGAACACTGGCTATTTAAGTTTCCACTTTAGACAAAGATGATCTACTCAATACAGAGTAGAGAGAGCCTAGACAGCACTTCAGCACACCCTCAAGAAGGATACCCAGGGTATTCTATGCAGTTACTTAAAAAAATGTATCTAATAGTGCTTGAAATGCTCTGGACTATCCCATCTAGCTTCCAGTTGCTAGTCCAGAAATTGTCCGCAGGTTCTGCATCACATCTGCCAGCCTCATATCAAATGGCTTTAGATACTTAAGCTTAGATCACTGAGCTCCAAACGGGTGGTGAGATGAATCTCTTTGAAGGCTCCATTGAATGTACTGACTATACTGGGACCCAAGACACTTAGCACAGCTACGTATCTATAAGACACAGCTAAGACATCTACAAGAGGAGAACTAAATTTTATGTTCTTAATCTGGAGCTCAATTCCAGACTTTCATGTTGTTATAGGCTATAAATCCCAGGAGGGAATTTTTCCTTCCCCTGTTCCACTGTAAGAAAAACAGAGTTCCAACGGGAAAGGGGTCAATTAGCTTTACAAAAGGTCTGGCTGGCAAAGCCGAATTCCTAGCTAATGGCCCGTCGAAGGCTGGAGTGGGGGGAGAGGAGGAGTTTGGGAGTTCTTGGGTAGCGGGCCCAGCTCACAGGGGGTAGAAGTCAGTTTTTGCTGGGTTCTCTCTCTGGGATAGAGACGGGGTAGCTGTCTTTGTCTCCAGTTCGGACCTGCTGCGTTTTCATCGGAGAATTTCCTTTCCCCCTTCTTCCATTGGGGGAAGGGTCCCCATTTTCTTTTCGGCTTCTCCCACGACCCGAGACCACCCCCCAGATCCCCCCTCACGGTGACCACCAGAGCCCGACAGCGCCCCCTGCCGGCCAACACCGAGCACTGCAGGCTCTGCACCCCCAGCGATCCAACAGCGCCCCCTGCCGCCCGTGATTAGAACTGCGCTAAAGGACAGAGAAGTATTCAGACCTTTTTTCTTTTGTTTGAAGGGGACTTTTGGGTACAGGACTACTGTCTAGTTGTTGTGTTCTGTTACTGTTCTTGCCAACACACATATATCTTTTAATAAAGGGTTGTTATTTCTTCTGTTTTTTCCACACTTCCTCAATTAAAGCCCC